AAAGTTAATCAATGACATGTATGGTCAATCCCTTTTTGAAGAGCTGAAAACATTGAAAAGTTTTTTGGAGAAAAAATGTCAGCAAAACTAGTACTGCATTTTCTTTACAATAAAAATCTTATTGATTCATTTCCTATTATCATACTGCAATTTTAATCAGAAACTTCTTGACTCTGCAAGTAACTGTTGCATCTTCAGAAAGAAGTTTTTTTTTTCAAAATTGAAAATCATAAAGAAATACTTAAGATCAAGAATGAGTCCAGTAAAATTGTCAAATTTATTAATGATTTCAATTGAGCATGATGAACTTGAAGAACTATAGAAACAAATGGTATCATCTCAAGGTTTGCTAGTGCAAAAGCCAGGAAAGTGTTATTCTAGACATACAAAATTTTTTCAGTAACCCTTATTTTGGTGTTGGTATTTCCTCATGGAGATTCTGCAGCATTTGTATTGAACCATGGTTTTTTCTGTTGAATAAGTTTTCATTTCATAAAATGTACAAAGAATAAACATGTTTTATCCAATCAAAATCCACATCTACATTTTAAAAACTAAACTAAATACTATATCAACATATAGCAACATTACTAAATATTGAAAACTAAATATTAGACAGGGAACCCTTTTTACTGTGTATATTCTCAGATTGCAGTTTTTCATGTATAGGGGCGCCAAGTAAGGGTTTGCACACGGGCGCCATGCAGGCTTGGGCCGGCCCTGCCCAAGCTCTTTTTGCATCGAAAATGAAGAAAAAATTAAGACTGAAGATATATAAAATGCAGTACAGATGTACAGTAATAGGCTCGCTTTGCAAACCTTTACATGCAAAATCGTTAGTTTTTATGCTTACTGATTGATATGCGGAAATAAATAAACAGATCGATGTAATAACATATTGAATATTTACTGAGAAATTGTTCATTCAATATATTCATGTCAGAATAAATTTCTACTTTCTTTGAAAAATAAATACAGTATATACAAAACATATGCTGGTCCATATCTTACAATTCACAACTTCAGAAGGCAATAAGTGCGCATATAAGTCTTGGCAGAGGAAGAAATGGGGGCGCTCAGCAGAATGAAGTGGTGGGTGACACTTATCCTCTGTCACTGTCCCTGACTGCATCGAGGGTCACTAATGCGGTGGGCATTAGAGGCGGATATATGCAAGGGTGATCAGCTCAGAATATATATAAAGCAGTTTGAGTGCTTGGTTCTACAATCTGTCTGTGTATAAGAGTTTTGCAATGCAAGGACGAGTATCAATCATGTATTTATTCTGAGGTAATTGAGTTTCACCTGTAATACAGTGAGACCCCCACACGCAGACACCTTGACCTGTGGATGATTTGAAAAAAGGGACACTTATTTCCCCAGAAGAAATCAATCAATGAAGCCCAACATGAGGACACTGACTTGACATAGGGACATTTTGTGATGAAATTGCAAATACATTTCAGGCCAAATTACAAGAAACAGATATTTCAACCCTAAAATTGATGTAAGAAAAGTTCTTGGGCATTTCTGTCACCAAATTACCATTCATTTAGCTAATTTTAAAAAATTACCTCCCGCATAGAGGGACTTCTACTTTTTTTCACTTGAATGTTATTTTTGTAGATGCCAAAATTTCAGTGTACAGTACAGAGAAACACTATTCAATGCTCCAAATGTTCTTATTGAGTTGAACATATATTCTTTCATTCAAATTCAAGTGGCAAACTATTTTTTTCAGGGAATTCTGAAGAATATTTCTGCCATAAAACACCAATTAAAAATTATATAATGCAAGTCTATGGGAAAACAAGACTTGACTTAGGGACATTTTGACTTGGGGACACACTTGATGCACCAATTAGTACCGCATCTTGGGGTCTCACTGTGTATTAATCAAGTTGCATGGAATTGTTTTAGTTGAGTAGCTTTAAATATATTCTATTACATGACTTAATATGCAGTAATTCAAAGTTACTCAAGTATAGCCTTGTTTCATCCTACTTGAGATCATTCAGTCAAAACCTTTTCAAGTAAAATTTGAAGGGACCAGCAAAAAAATTCGAGCTAGGTTTCAATTTAGGGAGACAAACCTTTTTGTTGGAGAAAGAAAGATTAATTTATGAAATAAAAATACATGAAAATCTGGGCACGATCAATTTCATTCCACAATGCCAAACATGAATACAATCTTCACCTCAGAACACAGCAAAAACAGTCGCACGAAATCTCTCCGAAATCATAACTCAAGCTCATCTTTTTGGAAAACCGCAAACAAGGAATGCCATACTCAAAATCACACCCATCACATCAACCGCATGTAACAATAATCAAAGCCACTGAATTCGAACCTCCGTTACCAA